TTAATATATAAGTATTATATCAAAATCGTAAATCCGTATCAACTTTGAGTGATTTCCGATAAACGGAAGTGGAACTTTTTCTACCTACTTTGAATTATCCAAAAGCCTATAACTTGAGTACTACTTCAGATAAATAAATGAAATTTCACATGTAAGTATAAGTTCTAATTCTCGGCCATCTATCAAATGTTGAGTAAAATTCCGTCGACCGGAAGTAGTAATTTATGCTATTTCAGATTTCTCAAAAAAAAAACGCATGTGAAATTATAAAATACTAATAATAGTCCGCACTATTATGCACATTTTATTTGGCGTGCAATTCTTTTTACTTTCTCGTATATACGAAGTATAGAGAAAGTCTTGTAATCGTGCAAAAAAATCTCGACGTTCTACACCTCACTGATACGGAAAAACATAATTTTGCAATCTTGTCCGTATGTCTGTGTGTGTCTGTGTGTGTGTAAACACAATAACTTGAGTACCGTTACAGCTGGATTGATAAAATTTCATATAAAAGTATTTTATCAAAATCGTATATCCGTATCAACTTTTGAGCGATTTCCGATAACCGGAAGTAGAACTTTTTCTACTGTGAATTTTTCAAAAGCCCATAACTTGACTACTATTTTAGATAGATAAATGAAATTTCACATGTAAGTAAAAGATCTAATTCTCTACCTTTTGTCAAATTTTAAATAATTTCCGTTGATCGGAAGTGGCAATTTACGCTATTTCCAATTTCTCAAAAAACTAATGTAAATTGATAAAGTACTAGCCGTCCCTGTCAGGCCCTGCACTGGCATTTCTGAAAAACGTATCTGTAAAGGACCATAACTTGTGTGTTTAGTAATCAGCATTTACCCGGCAAACATAACACTAACACAAAGAAAACACAAACGAAAACACAAAAACAAATGCAAAGACAAACCCAACCACAAACACAAAGAAAACACAAACACTAACGCAAACAAAAAAGCAAACGAAAATAAATCCAAACGCAAACACAAACCAAACCACAACCAAACAAAACCAAAACACACACACACACAAAACAACGCAAACATAACACAAACACAAATACAAACACAAACGAAAACACAAAAACAAACGCAAACACAACCACAAACCCAAAGAAAACACAAACGCAAAGAAAAAAGTCAAACGAAAACAAACCCAAATCCAAACGCAAACACAACCACAAACGCAAACCCAAACTCAAACATAAAGAAAACAGAAACGCAAATATAAACTCAAAGTTTCCACAGTCTAGCCCGGGGCGCCAAATCGCACCATGACGACGTGCTGCATAGCCGCCTGATTCAACATAATAAACGAATTTAGTACCCAACTTATTCATAGTCTTTTGAACTCACTTACGCGAACGTAGGTACCATAGCGAACACGAGAAGGCCCGGGGCGCCAAAAAGCTACCTGTAGGGGTGCCGGAGGACGCCAGGATTCGATTCATTATAAGACTACAGTAACCGTTCTTATTCATAGTCTATCGCACTGTTTAAAACAAAAGTATGCACTATAGCGCTCACATAATAGCCTTTAAAAAGGATTAAAAAGCATGTCTATAGCCCGAGTTCCCATCCCCTGTTGTTTTATATAAGAATATTCGAGAAAGTTTAGGGAAGATCACTCCGGTTTATTTTCTACGAGATGCTATTCTATTATAAAAATTTTAAGTTATTAAAAATGGATTAAAATGGATTTAAAATATTGTCTATGCCATCCCCCATAGTGTTATATAAGAATATTCGAGAAAGTTTAAAGGAGATCACTCCCGGTTTATTTTTAATTATTTTTTACGGCCGCTAAGAAGTCAAAAAATAAAAATAAATAAATAAGAAATAACGAATTTTATCCATGTCACCATATTTATTATGATTGAAGGATTCTCGTCAACTCGCTGGAGTAGACTGGATTAAAAGATATTGGGTTTAAATGGCGAAAAATTCAAGAAAATAATGTTAAATTACAACTTTCATGACTTAGGATTATACATGCACTAGGCATACAGCCTAGCTTCGCTTAGGTTTTCAAAAACATTAGAGAATTTGAATACTTAATTATTTAGTGATGGATGAGGTGTGGAGTGCTTAAAATTAAACAGTAATGCTAATTTTAGAGAAATGTTGTTATTGTCTAATTATTGGAAAGTTCTTAATGTACGACAAAATGGAAATAGAACTACAGAGGTTCCATCAACAGTATATCTCATAATTTATATTACATTGACTTTTAAAATTAATTAATTAATTTAATAAGGATACGTATTTTATATAACAACTTACTTTTTACTTTCTCGTATATACGTAGTATAGAGAAAGTATTGTAATCGTGCAAAAAAAAAAAAAAATCGAGATTTTTACAAATCTCGACGTTTTACACCTCACTGATACGGAAAAACATAATTTTGCAATCTTGTCCGTATGTCTGTGTGTGTGTGTGTCTGTCTGTGTGTGTGTCTGTCCGTGTGTAAACACGATAACTTGAATACCGTTACAGCTAGGTTGATGAAATTTCATATATAAGTATTTTATCAAAATCGTAGATCCGTATCAACTTTTGAGCGATTTCCGATAACCGGAAGTGGTACTTTTCCTACTTTGAATTATTTAAAAGCCTATAACTTGAGTACTATTTTAGATAGATAAATGAAATTTCACATGTAAGTAAAAGATCTAATTCTCTACCTTCTGTTAAATTTTGAGTAATTTCCGTTGACTGGAAGTAGTAATTTACGCTACTTCCGATTTCTCAAAAAACTAATGTAAATTTTAAAAGTACTAATAATATTGCGCACCATTATGAACATCTTTATTCGGCGTTCGGTTGGTGCGCAATACTTTTTTCTATGAGATTCTATTCTATTTTAAAAAGTTTAAGTATTTAAAATGGATTAAAAATCATAACTATATCCCCAGTTACCATCCCCTGTTGTTTTATATAAGAATATTCGAGAAAGTTTAGGGGAGATCACTACCGGTTTATTTACTAAAACAAATGCTATACTTCGTCATTTTCTGTTTATGTTTAAAATAGTACACAATTGTTTGAAAAATAATTATTTAAAAAATTTTACCTCCCGTGAAAATTGAACGAATGACGTATGGCTTTGTTTCCTTTTTATTTTAAACAAACAGTTGCTATGCTTATATAAGAAAATACGGGCAAAAAATACGGAAAAAAACTGGACATATTTAACGACCATAACATGGCTTTTCCCGACGGGAATAAAGTTTTTTTTACCCTCCAGAGTCGGTCTACGACAGGGGTCTCAAAACATTTCAGCCCGAGGGCCGCATTAACTATCAAATATCAGTTCGGGGGCCAGTTTCTTCCAGGCATCTCTTTGGGGTGGCAGAGCCCCCCACCCACTCCCCACCGAAGAACATATAACCCCCCCCCCCCCCCCAACGAAATATAAATTATATAGAAATATATATATGTAAATTTCAGCGACTCATCCATTGCATTTGAAAAATGGCAAAACTTGCATGCATTTTTCGCTATTTGAGTCACATTGTTTTCACCAATGTCTGCAACACTGCGGGCAATGGTATTTGCACCCAAAGCTACATTTTCAAATTGTTTTGAACTTTCTGGGCAAAGTTCCTCAGGCACCTCCAACAAACATTTTTCCGTGGACAAAAAGATGTCCGCGGGCCGGATGAGAGGAACCCGCGGGCCGCACTCGGTCCGCGGGCCGTAGTTTGGAGACCCCTGGTCTACGACATCACAAAATATCAGGGGGATCCTTCGGCATTTTTTAATATAGCTTATGTACGGACAATGTCACTCGTGGTCACTTTTTAGCCCTCATCGAGAGCTATGAGTCAAACCAACAGGTTTGCCCTACGGCCAAGCGATTTACCTATAAGCATGCCAAAAAATCAGCCAGATGTAAAGAGGGTAAGTGCCCTAAAATCTGTTTTGAAATTACCCTGTTTTTCCCATAAAATACAAAGATTATATAGGGAAATACAACTGGTCAGTTTTGACCCATTTTCCGATTTTTCCCGGACATGGCGAGTTTTTTGTGACGACCCAATGCGTTCTCCTACCACCTCGCAAAATTTCAAGGGGGGTCGTCGGAGGAAATTTTTTTTCGTAATATAGCTCATATAAAGAGAATTTCACTCGCGGTCATTTTTAGTCCTCGTCGAGGGCTTTGAGTAAAACCAACAGGTTCGCCCTACGACCAAGCCATTTACCTATAAGCATACCAAAAATTAGCCAGATGTAAATAGGGTAAGTGCCCTGAAATCCGTTTTCAAATTACCCTCTTTTTTCCCCATAAAATACAAAGATTATATAGGGAAATACGATTGGTCAGTTTTGACCTTTTTCCCGATTTTTCCCGGACATGGCGAGTTTTTTGTGACACCCCAAGGCGTTCTCCTACCACCACACAAAATTTCAAGGGGGGTCGTCGGAGGAAATTTTTTTTCGTAATATAGCCCATTTGAGGCGCCGGTCAGTCGAGGTCAGTTTTGACCCCCTCTCCATAGACTTTTCGGCAAACCTTCAACGGCCCTCGTGTTCTACCGCCCCAAGGCACCATCGTGCAGAATATGACGCGCCTGCGGCGCCGGGAAGTGCCCTTTCGGGCACTTGACCATTTTGCTTTATATATATATAGATGATAACCTAATTAGACACTAGAGGTCTAAAATTGTGCTTGATTTTGTTGTAATTTATCTTTAAAAAAAGCATATATATATATATATATATATATATATATATATATATATATATATATATATATATATATATATATATATACAATGGCGTAGAGAGGGTAGGCGGGGGTGCGGACCGCACCGGGTGACACCATTTAGGGAGGGTGACAACCAAGGCAAAAAATAATCTATTTACAAACTAAGGTTATATATATATATATATATATATATATATATATATATATATATATATATATATATATATATATAATTAAGATAACAACAATATTTACAAACATCTCTTCATACCTTTCTACAAAGTCCTACTGTTGTAAACGTATTAAGGTTATTATGTCGCTTGTCTGATCTGACAAAGAACCCATTAAACAAAAAAAAAAAAGCATCTGTTTTGACATAAAACATTCATTTAGGTTGTAAGAAAGAAAACATTGGTAAAAAAATGTTAACGGTCATTCTTAACAGACAATTGGTGAGCTTCGGTTCAGCCCATTAATCTGCCAGAGTTAATGAGTTAAGGCTTTAACTCTTTTTTTTCTATCTAATGAGATAAATCTAGCGTCTAGGTCAGGTTTTAAGTCTTATTTATTGAAAGCATAAAAAGAGCGTCACTAACCGACCTGTCACTTTAAACCACGGGTCTCCTAACTTTTCTGTTCGAGGGCCGTATTAACTATGAAATTTTAGTTCGGGGTCAGTTTCTTCCAGGCAAGTCTTTGATTTTTGTGGGCAAAGTTCCTCAGCCATCACCAAGAAACAATTTTTCCTTGGACAAAAAGATCTCCGCGGGCCGGATGAGAGGACTTCGCGGGCCGCATCCGTCCCGCGGGCCGTAGTTTGGCGACCCCTGCTTTAAACAAATAAACCTAACATTCAAAACAAGTTAACTCCAACCTAATGCGAACCTTCTCAGACCCCCCCCCCCCCCCCATTTTTTAAAAATCCACCATTGTCTGTTCGATGATCGCCAGGATATGAGAGGCAACTAAGAAATCGATTGCAATGTACAACACTACAACTGACGCACAGTTCTCTGATTCTCAAGATGTTTACTCAAGAATAGTGCATTCTTTTCAATGACGACCCGTTTTACAAGATTTTTTAGAAGTAATCGGTCCATCTTCAGTCTTTGTTAGTGGCGTCCGTTTATCTACAGTCTTTGTTAGTGACGTCCGTTTATATAGTCTTTGTTAGTGACGTCCGTTTATCTACGGTCTTTGTTAGTGACGTCCGTTTATCTACAGTCTTTGTTAGTGACGTCCGTTTACCTAGTCTTTGTTAGTTACGTCCATTTATCTACAGTCTTTGTTAGTGACGTCCGTTTATATAAAGTCTTTGTTAGTGACGTCCGTTTATATAAAGTCTTTGTTAGTGACGTCCTTTTATCTACAGTCTTTGTTAGTGACGTCCGTTTATCTACATTCTTTGTTAGTGACGTCCTGTCTTTGATAGTGACGTCCGTTTATCTACAGTCTTTGTTAATGACGTCCGTTTATCTACAGTCTTTATTAGTGACGTCCGTTTATCTACAGTCTTTTTTAGTGATGTGCGTTTATCTATAGTTTCAGTGGCGTCAAGTCTATGGATAGTCCTTGTCAATTGCGTCACGTTTGTCTACATTCTGTCAATGGTGTCACGTTTGTGTACATTCTGTCAATGGTGTCATGTTTGTCTACATTCTGTCAATGGTGTCATGTTTGTCTACAGCCTGTCAATGGTGTCACGTTTGTCTACAGTCTGCCAATTGCGTCGCTTCTAATTGTCTTGCTTGTTTAATCTCGTGTATTTGTTGAGAAATATATAACAGAACACCACGAATCACAGAACACTGGAAACATTGTAATGAAAGCAAGTTCAAATCACATCCAAACACATGACATGTCGGCTTAATATCGACATAATCTTTAGGATAAAGTGTTCAGTGCTACAGCTCTACTGACCAGTTGTCGTATCCTGGATAGAGAACATAAGGTCACGGCAAGCGACGTTTTCTCTAGGCTCAGCAGAACCTGTAGGTGAATGACCTGACATTGACCCACCTGACCTGACCAGTTACTTTAACTGAGGCCTGTTGTCTGTAGCATTCAATACTAGCTTATTTAATCTTAACACTAAAATATACCTATAAATTAATTATTAGGGTGTCTCCTACTGTTCTTATATAACACTACGGGAGATGACACATCTCGATAAATATATAATTTTAAATCCATTTCTAATTACTTAAAGTTTTTAAAATAGAATAAAATCAAATAGAAAAAATATTTGCACACCAAGTGAACGAAAAACAGTAAGTGTAAAATAGTTCGGAATATTATGAGTACTTTATAAATTCATATGCGTTTTTTTTTTTTTTTGAGAAATCGGAAGTAGCGAAAATTGCTACTTTCGGTAAACGGAAATTAATCAAAATTTGATAGAAGGCAAAGAATAAGATCCTTTACTTACATGTGAAATTTCGTTAACCTAACTGAAACATTACTCAAAGTTATAGACTTGTGAAGAATTGAAAGTAGAATAAATTCCACTTCCATTTATTGAAAATCGCCGAACAATGTATACAGAACTACAAATTTGATATAATACTTATAGTCTATATGTAATTTATTCAAACTAGCTGTAATGGTATTCAAGTTATCGTGTTTACAGACACACACAGACATACGGACAGAATTGCAAAGTACAGTTTTTCAGGCTGGAAAACGGGATTTATATTGAACCATGTTTGAACAATTCTGAAAAATTACGTCATAACCCCCTTCCCCTACCCTTATTTCTATGGCATGAAAACGTCTCCAGTGTCAGGCACGATAGGAAGCTTCCCTCTTTGTTATCTATGCCTTAACGTCCGATTTGACTTTCGGTGACTCTTTGTCCCGACGTCCGCCTTTACGTACATCTTTGGCCGGCTTTGGTTTGTCTGCCTTAACTTTAGGTACATCTTTGGCCGGCTTTGAATTGTCTTCCTTAACTTTAGGTACATCTTCGGCCAGCTTTGATTTGTCTTCCTTAACTTTAGGTACATCTTTGGCCGGCTTTGATTTGTCTTCCTTAACTTTAGGTACATCTTTGGCCGGCTTTGGTTTGTCTGCCTTAACTTTAGGTACATCTTTGGCCGGCTTTGGTTTGTCTGCCTTAACTTTAGGTACATCTTTGGCCGGCTTTGGTTTGTCTGCCTTAACTTTAGGTACATCTTCGGCCTGCTTTGGTTTGTCTGCCTTAACTTTAGGTACATCTTTCGTCGGCTTTGATTTGTCTGCCTTAACTTTAGGTACATCTTTGGCCTGCTTTGATTTGTCTGCCTTAATTTTAGGTACATCTTCGGCCGGCTTTGGTTTTTCTGCCTTAACTTTAGGTACATTTTTGACCAGCTTAACTTCCGGTTCAAGTCCCTGTTCAACGTGCTCCTGTTGGTCATCACGTTTGGCCACATTCAAAAGTTGGCCCAGCTTGTTCTCAATGGCTTGTGTGACGAGGATGCCTGGAATAAGACAGGTTGAAAACATTTACAGGACAGACTATGGAACATTTGTGGTGCTGTTATAGTACCTTTACGGAAATTTTAATGCACATTTAGGGTACTTTTATGGTGCTGTTGTGGAACTGTTAGGCAAAGTTATAGTGTTGTTATAGTACTGTCAATGTGCTGTTATAGTACTATTATTGTACTATTATAGTACTATTACGGTACTGTCATAATATGGTTGTAGCTGTTCTGTTGTGATAATGTTGTGTACTATTTAAGCTTTTTAATGTCTGTCGGGGTCTTGTCCAAGTTATAATATTCGTAGTCCTTCCCTTAAAATTCAAGCCCCAATGCTAACCATATACCTAACTCTGGCTCTAATTCTAGATTTTAAGTCATTCTCAAGTCTAAGCCAAATCTTATACTTTGCCTATCCCAGCTATACCCAAAATGTATTTCCCAGAGCGTGGCGACACTAGAACCCAATAAACCAACATAACATCCTGTATCGTGACGTTAAAGGTGTCTTAAACTAAAATTAAGACACCAACGGGATTTAAAAAAAAAAGACAAATTCAACTGTGGCACACGGGATCGATAAAGAGTAGTGATGTGAATAGTGTGGTGTATGAAAAAAAGAGTTGTGATGTGTGTCGGGTGATATATGACAAAGAGGCATGATGTATGTCGCGTGATGTATGAGATATGGTTGTGATGTGTGTCAGGTGATGTATGAGAAAGAGTTGTGATGTGTGTCGGGTGATGTATGAGATAGGGTTGTGATGTGTGTCATGTGATGTATGAGAAAGAGTTGTGAAGTGTGTCGTGTGAGATATGATCGAGGAATATGTTTCAATTGTCCCTTGTTTCAGCTACTTACCTTACCCAATATTGTTCCTGTGATTGTTGTTCTATGTACCTGTGATTGGTGTTCTTCTACCTTTGATACTCACTACCTGTGATTGATGTTCTAATTCCAGTGATTGTAGTTCTACTACCATTGATTGTAGTTCTACTACAATTGATTTTAGTTCTACCACCTGTGATTGTAGTTCTATGTTCTGTGTAACTGTAATTGTTATTCTATGTACCTGTGATCGTTGTTCTATATACCTGTTATTGTTGACCTACTACCTGTGAATGTAGTTACTCTACACGTGATTTTATTTTTACTAGTTCTACTACCTGTGATTGTAGTTCTACTATCTGTGATTGTAGTTCTCTACACCTGTGTTGAGGGAATGTGATTCTAAGGAAATGATTCAGAAATGATAGAAGGGCACATGCTATTAGCCTAGGCGTCACTGCCTAAAGTGTGTTACTTGGTTTAGTCCACCCCCAACCAACTACTGAACGATGACAAAGAACACACTTCAAAGGAAAAACTTGTGGTAAGCGTCCTTACACATGTACATCAAGGAAGGGCATTGGACCATTTCAACTAACGGGTGGGGGGGGGGGGGGGGTAATTGATTATACTATACATTTTAAATTTAAGTTATATTTTTTTTTACCATTTTGTTCCTAGGGATGGTTGACGTGCTGAAGGGGTAGTCCCCCCCCCCCACCCCACCCACCCCACCCCCTGGAGAAAAGACCAGACATAAGCACTTTCTACAACATTACTGATGAGAGCATAATGCTAGAGTTACTATGGCAACCGTTGATAGAATGAAAACTGACTTACAGCAGACAAGAAGCAATGCTAGGTGGATGAGCTTCATGGTTGGATTCTTGTCTTACACAGACGTTGAAGGATGCAAGTTATGGATTCCCGACTGAACCAAAAGTTGAAGATGAACAGTGTGGAAGATTCCTGATGTTATCGAATTGCGATGAATACAACAATGTTACAAAGCGGTTAATTTATTTAGCGTTATAATTCATTAAAGTTAGTTAAACCGGAAGTGATCTCACATAAACTTTCTCAAATATTGGTATATAACAATACGGGAGATGGAACATCTCGATAGAGACATGGTTATTAATCCATTTTTAATTACTTAAACTTTTTAAAATAGAATAAAATCTAAAAAAAATAAAGAATTGCAAACCATGTGAACGCCAAACAATATGTGTATAATAGTGCTGAATATTATTAGTACTTTTTTAGATATTGGAATAGCGAAAATTGCAACTTCTGGTCAAAGGAAATTACTTAAAATTTAACAGAAAGCAGAGAATTAGATATTTTACTTACATGTGAAATTTCATTAATCTCAACTTATGGAGGTTTGAAAAATTGAAAGTAGAATAAGTTCCACTTTCGGTTATCAGAAATCAATGAAAATTCGATATAGAATTACAAAAGTGATTTAATAATTATGTATGAAATTTCATCCACCTAGCTGTTACGGTACTCAAGTTATCATGTTTACAGACACACATACACACTCACACACCCACACACAGACATACGGACAGAATTGCAAAGTCCAGTTTTTCCGACTCAATTACGCATAAAACGCAAAGTTAAACAAAAATCTGGATTTATAATTTTTGCCCTATTAAAATGAAGTCCTCTATACTCAGGATGTGATGAAGGGCTGATGTGAATAAGGTGTAAACTCTCAAAATTTCATGTGATTCTTGTGCACGATTACAATACTTCCTCTAAACTCTGTATACGAGAAAGTAAAAATGTAAAACTTGTCTTGTGGCTTTTTCCAGCTGAGAGGTGGAACAACCTCACATATTGCACATCTATATTGCTTGAAACAGAACTAAATACCAGTGATTGTAGCTCTATGTACCCGTGATTATAGCTCTATGTACCTGTGATTGTAGCTCTATCTGTGATTGTAGCTCTATGTACCTGTGATTGTAGTTCTATGTACCTGTGATTGTAGCTCTATGTATCTGTGATTGTAGCTCAATGTACATGTGATTGTATCTCTATGTACCTGTGATTGTAGCTCTATGTACCTGTGATTGTAGCTCTATGTACCTGTGATTGTAGCTCTATGTACCTGTGATTGTAGCTCTATGTACCTGTGATTGTAGCTCTATGTACCTGTGATTATAGCTCTATGTACCTGTGATTGTAGCTCTATGTACCTGTGATTTTAGCTCTATGTACCTGTGATGGTAGCTCTATGTACCTGTGATTGTAGCTCTATGTACCTGTGATTGTAGCTCTATGTACCTGTGATTGTAGCTCTATGTACCTGTGATTGTAGCTCTATGTACCTGTGATTGTAGCTCTATGTACCTGTGATTGTAGCTCTATGTATCCCTGATTGTAGCTTTGTGTACCCAAACGAGTATTAGATAGGCCAATTAAATATTTAAAAAATCATGCACCGTGTAACTGAAATTAATATGGTTATAAAATCCTGATTGTTTAATATTTTTTCGGACTTTAACAAAAAATAAATAAACCGGTAGTGATCTCCCCTAAACTTTCTCGAATATTCTTATATAAAACAACAGGGGATGGTAACTGGGGATATAGTTATGATTTTTAATCCATTTTAAATACTTAAACTTTTAAAAATAGAATAGAATCTCATAAAAAAAACATTGCGCACCAAGCAAACGCCGAATAAAAACGCGTATAATAGTGCGCAATATTATTAGTACTTTAAAAATTTACATTAGTTTTTTGAGAAATCGGAAGTAGCGTAAATTACTACTTCCAGTCAACGGAAATTACTCAAAATTTAACAGAAGGTAGAGAATTAGATCTTTTACTTACATGTGAAATTTCATTTATCTATCTGAAATAGTACTCAAGTTATAGGCTTTTGAAAAATTCAAAGTAGGAAAAGTACCACTTCCGGTTATCGGAAATCGCTCAAAAGTTGATACGGAATCTACGATTTTGATAAAATACTTATATATGAAATTTCATCAACCTAGCTGTAACGGTACTCAAGTTATCGTGTTTACACACGGACAGACACACAGACACACACACACACAGACATACGGACAAGATTGCAAAATTATGTTTTTCCGTATCAGTGAGGTGTAAAACGTCGAGATTTGTAAAAATCTCGATTTTTTTTTTTTGCACGATTACAATACTTTCTCTATACTACGTATATACGAGAAAGTAAAAAACAATAATAAATTTCTGATTTATTTTTACTTTCTCGTATATACGAAGTATAGAGAAAGTATTGTAAAAAATAATCGAGAATTTTGCAAATCTCGTCGTTTTACACCTCCCTGAGTCGGAAAAACATAGTTTTGCAATCTTGTCCGTATGTCTATGTGTGTGTGTGTATGTGTGTGTATGTGTTAACACGATAACTTGAGTACCGCTACAGCTAGTTTGATGAAATTTCATATATAAGTATTATGTCAAAATCGAAGATCCGTATCAACTTTTGAGTGATTTCCGATAAACGGAAGTTAAACTTTTTCTACTTTGAATTTTTCAAAAGCCTATAACTTGAGTACTATTTCAGATAGATAAATGAAATTTCACATGTAAGTAAAAATTCTAATTCTCAGTCATCTATCAAATTTTGAGTAAAATTCCATGAAACGGAAGTAGTAATTTACGCTAATTACGATTTCTCAAAATAAACGCATGTGAATTTATAAAGTACTAATAGTATCTCGCACTTTTTCTTTTTTTCTACGAGATTCTATTCTATTATATTGTCTATGCCCCGAGTTGCCATCCCCCGTACTGTTATATTAGAATATTCGAGAAAGTTTAGGGGAGATCACTCCCGGTTTATTTTTAATTATTTTTACGCCGCTAAGAAGTCAAAAAAAAAAAGAAAATAACGAATTTTATCCATGTCACTATATTTATTATGATGGAAGCATTCTCGTCAACTTGCTAGAGTACATTGGATTAAAAGATATTGGGTTTAAATGGCAAAACATTTAAGAAAACAATGTTAAATTACTACTTTCATGACTTAGGAGTATACATGCAGGATAACCTAATTACACACACGAGTGTCTAAAATCGTGCTTCATTATGTTATAATTTATCTTTAAAAAGCACATATATATATATATATATATATATATATATATATATATATATATATATATATAATATATATATATATATATATATATATATATATATATATATATATATATATACATACATATATATATATATATATATATATATATATATATATATATATATATATATATATATATATATATATATATATATATATATATATATATATATATATATATATATATATAAACACACACACACACACACACACACACACATATATATATATATATATATATATATATATATATATATATATATATATATATATATATATATATATATATATATATATATATATACAGTGGCGTAGCGAGGGGGGCGGGGTTGCGGACCGCACAGGGTGACACCATTTAGGGGGGTGACACCAAGGCAAACTAATCTATTTACACACTAGTGTGACTTTAAAATCGTTCTTGATTATGTTGTAATTTATCTTTAAAACATCATATGCATATATATCTATATATCTATATATCTATATATATACATATATATATATATATATATATATATATATATATATATATATATATATATATATATATATATATATATATGTATATATATATATATATATATACATACATACATATATATATATATATATATATATATATATATATATATATATATATATATATATATATATATATATATATATATATATATATATATATATATATATATATATATATATATATATATATATATATAAGACAACAACATTTACAAACATCTCTCCATACCTTTCTACAAAGTCCTACTGTTGTAAACGTGTTAGGGTTATAATGTCGCTTGTCTGATCTGACAAAGAAACCATTAAACAAAAAGAAATTGGGGGACTTCGGTCAGAGTTAATGAGTTAATGATTGAACTCTTTTTTTTCTTCTATCTAATGAGATAAATCTAGCGTCTAGGTCAAGTTTTAAGTCTTATTTATTGAAAGCATAAAAAGAGCGTCACTAACCGACCTGTCACTTTAAACCAGTGGTTCCCAACCTTTTTCGAATGGCGACCCCCTTTTATAAAAAGTAAGTCACCCGCGACCCCCATAGAATTAAAAAGCCTAAATTAGTATGGAAATTAATAAACACTATAATAAGATTTTCTACTAGACTTTCAATATGAACTACTCTTGATAACTGTTTTAATAGCATGAGTAAAATTGCATACTATTCACTAAACCTTCGTGTTTAAGTTTTTAATTTTAAAATTTTTTCTTAACGCCAACCTATGTCATTATAATTATCTTAATTTTGTTTTTAATCGAAGAATAGTGTTGAAAATATATTCTCGAAAAGTCAATAAAATTTACGTTTGGGTTTGAATGGTGAAAACTGCACCAAAATTGTGTCTGCAGTTTTTCATCTTACTCGGAATCATTATGCAAATCAAAGAATTCATCTTGTAATTCATCGGGAATGCTGGCAACATCAAGGGAAGAAGAGAATGGGTAATGCGTAAATGCAGACTCTTCTTTTTTCAGCTCAGAGAAATAGCGATGCAGTTCGTTTTCAAGAGATTCAAGATGCCCAGAAATCGCTTCTTTCAAAATTTTAATTAACTCACAATCAGATTCATCTATCACACCGCAGATTTTCTCAAATTTACAATATTTCCAAGATTTATTTTTTTACCGATTTTGCAGCTTTGATAAAAATGCCCCGAGATTATCATGGAAAGTTATAATATTCGTTCATTTTCCCTGAAGCTTCAGGTTAAGCTTATCTTGATGTTCGAACACATCTTCTAGGTATGATACTCTCTCCAACCACTATGTCGTTTTAAGTATACCAAGAAGTCTTGTTTCCTTTGCACTTCCAAGAACAATTTGATTTCAGATTTCAATTCAAAAACACAATTTACAACATTTCTTTTGACAGCCAGCTTACTGTAGTGTAGAGGAGCAGAACCTCGTGATCTATATTAATGTTTTTGCTCAGTTCTTTGAAGTCTCCAGACTTTAAATAATTTACGACTTATACTAGCAATGGACTCTTGATGTCGATTGGTTAGGGCAGTGGTTAGGGAGCTAAATCTTTTCTGTTTTCTGAAAGCCCGATTTTGAGCTAAACATAGATGGCGCACCATCCGTACAAACCCCCACAGCGGTTCTAACCCATTGTAATCATCCAGTTTCAAAAAAGGTATTTATTTTCTCCATGCTATCTTCATAAAAGAGCAACTCTTCTTTGCTATCATCCGCATGAATATAGACACAGACCAGCAACTGCGAACACGAACTCACGTCTGTTGAAAAGCAAACAATGGTGAAAGCTTAATTTCAATAAAAATGTGTTTTTTTTTAACATTTACATACATGCAGCGTTTGATGAGATTTTCTCCTATTGTTTTTTTTTTCTTTTTTTTTTTTTTTTTTTTTTTTGCTTGGCATTTTCTATCGCTACTTCATTTGATGCTTGCACTAATGCTGGTGAAAACTTCCTGTTCGATCAAGTCTCTAGCTTCTTACCGACGAAAGAACTCCAAATATTTTTGGTGTGTTCCGAATGACTCGTCTCAAATGACGTTTTAGTTTTAAAGATTTCATTGATTTGTGACTGAGAACAACTTTGTACAGAGCGCTTTGTTTCTTCTCTATTACATTTCCAGTGATGCTGATGAAGCCGAATTTCAAAAATTCTTCTAAATATTTATGTTTTGTTTCAAATTACTAAGGTTTAGTATACCAGTTGGCGACCCCCCAGAAAGACCCGTGGGAACCCGTGCTTTAAACAAATAAACCTAACATTCAAAACAAGTTAACTCCAACCTAATGCGAACCTTATCAGACCCCCCCTACCCCCCCCCCCCCCACTTTTTAAAAATCCACCATTGTCTGACCCGATAATCGCCAGGATATGAGAGGCAACTCAAGAAATCGATGGCAATGTACAACAGTACAACTGACGCACAGTTCTCTGATTCTCAAGATGTTAACTCAAGAATAGTTCATTCTTTTCAATTAAGTCCCGTTTTACAAGATTTTTTAGAAGTAATCAGTCCATCAGCAGTCTTTGTTAGTGACGGCCGTTTATCTAATGTCTTTGTTAATGACGTCCGTATATCTACAGGCTTTGTTAGTAACGTCCATTTATCTACAGTCTTTGCTAGTGACGTCCGTTTATCTACATTTTTTGTTAGTGACGTCCGTTTATCTACAGTCTGATAGTGACGTCCGTTTATCTACAGTCTTTGTTAATGACGTCCGTTTATCTAGTCTTTGTTAGTGACGTCCGTTTATATACAGTCTTTGTTAGTGACGTCCGTTTATCTACAGTCTTTGTTAATGACGTCCGTTTATCTAGTCTTTGTTGGTGACGTCCGTTTATCTACAATCTTTGTTAGTGACGTCCGTTTATCTACATTTTTGTTAGTGACGTCCGTTTATCTACAGTCTTTGTTAGTGACGTCCGTTTATCTACAGTCTTTGTTAGTGACGTCCGTTTATTCAGTCTTTGTTAGTGACGTCCTTTGTTAGTGACGTCTGTTTATCTTTAACATCAGTGTTTCAGTGGCGTCAAGTCTATGGATAGTCATTGTCAATTGCGTCACGTTTGTCTACATTCTGTCAATGGTGTCATGTCTGTCTAAAGCCTGTCAGTGGTGTCATGTTTGTCTACAGCCTGTCAATGGTGTCATGTTTGTCTACAGCCTGTCAGTGGTGTCATGTTTGTCTACATTCTGTCAATGGTGTCATGTTTGTCTACATTCTGTCAATGGTGTCATGTTTGTCTACATTCTGTCAGTTGCATCACTTGTAATTGTCTTGCTTGTTTAATCTCGTGTATTTGTTGAGAAATATATAACAGAACACCACGAATCACAGAACACTGGAAACATTTTAATGAAATCACATTCAAACACATGACATGTCGGCTTAATATCGACATAATCTTTAGGATAAAGTGTTCAATGCTACAGCTCTACTGACCAGTTGTCGTATCCTGGATACAGTACTTAAGGTCCCTGCGTGCGAAGTGTTCTTTAGGTTGAGCTGAACGTATAGGTCAATGACCTGAAATTGACCCACCTGACCTTACCAGTTATTTTAACTGCGGCCTGTTATCTGCAGCATTAAATATGACCTTATATGAAGATTTAACCTTCGAACTAAAATATTAGTTAATCATTAGGGTTTTCCTATTAAAGACAAGTAGTCTATTCTTTAAGAACAATCTAAACACGGAATCAAATTATCCGGTTTTTGAAAATTAAAAAAAAAAACTCTAAAAAAGATAAAAACATTTTATAAAATAAATTATTTTTAACTGTATTTGAACAAAAAGTTGAAATAATTCTGAAAAAAATTAGATCTGTATGTACGAGGCTGTCAAAAATAAATGCCAAGGTCCATTGTAACTCCTTCCCCTGCCCCCTTCTCCATCTTAACCCCTCCCCCTGCCCCCACTTCTACCCCCGTGACGTCTACCGTGCCGACCACGATAGGAAGCGTCCCTTTTTGTGATCTCTGCCGGAACGTCCGATTTGACTTTCGGTGACTCTTTGGTCAGAATTGTTCTAACGTCCCCCTTTACTTCAGATTCGTGTTCGGCTAGCTTTGATTCGGCCGCCTTCACTTCAGATTCGTGTTCGGCTAGCTTTGTTCCAACGTCCGCCTTCACTTCAGATTCGTGTTTGGCTAGCTTTGTTCCAACGTCCGCATTAACCTCTTTAGCCAGCTTTGATCCGAAGCCAAGTTTTACTCCCTGTTTAGGTCCCAGTTCAACAGGCTCCTGTTGGCCATCACGTTTGGCCACATTCAAAAGTTTGCTCAGCTTGTTCTCAATGGCTTGTGTGACGAGGATGCCTGGAATAAGACAGGTTGAAAAAATTTACAGGACAGACTATGGAACATTTGTGGTACTGTTACAGTACAGTTACGGTAATGTTAATGTACTCTTATGGTACTTTTATAGTGCTGTTGTGGAACTGTTGGTATTGTTATACTACCGTTACGTTATTGTTAGTGTACTCTTATGGTACTTTTATGGTGTGGTGCTGTTGTCAAACTGTTGGTATTGTTATACTACTGTTGCTTGTGGCACTGTGTGGCACTGTTATGGCATTGTTATAGTATTGTTGTTGTACTCTTTAGGTACTGTTATAGTACTCATGTGGTACTTTTATGGTGCTATTGTTGAACTGTTTGTCAATGTTTTGGTATTGTTATAGTACTGTCATGGTACTGTTACAGTACTGCTATTGTACTATTTTAGTACTATTACGGTACCGTCAAGACATGGTTGTTGCTGTTCTGGTATGATATTGTTGTGGTACTATTAAAGCATTGGTATGCTACGTTTATAGTACTGTTAAATACTGTTATGGTACTGTTGTAATGTCCTGCAGGGACGTGTCCAACTTATAATATTTTTAGTCCCTCCCTTAAACATTGAGCTCAAATGCTAAACATAGACCTAACTGTGGCTCAAATTCCAGATTTAAAGTAATTCTTAAGCCAAAGCCGTAATGCTAAATCTCATACTTTGCCAATCTCTTAATTCTAGCATTAATCCCTGTCCTAACTTTCACCGTAAACACAATCTGAAACAAGTATGGTGCTCCCCACAGATCAAATCATAATTCTATTCTTTGAGTGATCCTAAATGTAACTTGGACGCAAATGCTACCCATAGAGCTACCTTACAATTACGGAACTAATACCAACCCTACCAGCTATACCGAGAATGTATTTCCCAGATTGTTGCAACATCTTGTATCAAGACACTAATGGGGTCTAAAACTTAAAACTAGACACTAATGAGATCTAAAACAGAGATCAATCAAATCTAAAAAGATCCCGGGTCTCGAACGAGTTGTGATGTGTGTCGGGTGAGGTATGAGAAGTGTGATGTGTGTCTGGTGAGGTATGAGAGTTGTGATGTGTCGGGTGAGGTATGAGAGTTGTGATGTGTGTCTGGTGAGGTATGAGAGTTGTGATGTGTGTGAGGTATGAGAGTTGTGATGTGGGTGAGGTATGAGAGTTGTGATGTGTGTCTGGTGAGGTATGACAATTGTGATGTGTGTCTGGTGAGGTATGAGAGTTGTGATGTGTCGGGTGAGGTATGAGAGTTGTGATGTGTGTCTGGTGAGGTATGACAATTGTGATGTGTGTCGGGTGAGGTATGACAATTGTGATGTGTGTCGGGTGAGGTATGACAATTGTGATGTGTGTCGGGTGAGGTATGACAATTGTGATGTGTGTCGGGTGAGGTATGACAATTGTGATGTGTGTCGGGTGAGGTATGACAATTGTGATGTGTGTCGGGTGAGGTATGACAATTGTGATGTGTGTCGGGTGAGGTATGACAATTGTGATGTGTGTCGGGTGAGGTATGACAATTGTGATGTGTGTCGGGTGAGGTATGACAATTGTGATGTGTGTCGGGTGAGGTATGACAATTGTGATGTGTGTCGGGTGAGGTATGACAATTGTGATGTGTGTCTGGTGAAGTATGAGAGTTGTGATGTGTGTGAGGTATGAGAGTTGTGATGTGTGTCTGGTGAGGTATGACAATTGTGATGTGTCGGGTGAGGTATGAGAGTTGTGATGTGTGTGATGTATGAGAGTTGTGATGTGTGTGAGGTATGAGAGTTGTGATGTGTGATGTGTGTGAGATATGAGTGTTGTGATGTTTTTGAAGTATGGGATTAGTGATGTGCCTGGCTGTAGTTCTATATACCCGTAGCTGTAGTTCTATGTACCGGCGATTGTAGTTCTACTACCTGTAATTGTAGTTCTACTACCTGAGGCTGTAGGTCTATATAACAGTGATTGTAGCACTATGCACCTGTGATTGTAGTTATATGTACCAGTAATTGTAGTTCTACTACCTGTGATTGTAGTTCTACTACCTGTGATTGTAGTTCTACTACCTGTGATTGTATTTCTACTACCAGTGATTGTATTTCTACATATTTTTACACAATTCAGAATGCGGAAATGTGAATCTAAGGAAGTGATTCAGAAAAGATAGGAAGGGCACATGTTATTCGCCTAGGTCCCACCGCCTAAAGAGTGCTACTTGGTTTAGTCCACCCCTATCCCCACTACTGAACGATGACAAAAACACATTCAAAAAGTCAGCAACGTGTGGCAAGCGCTCTAGCCTACACTGGACAGGAGCAGAGTTTCTTTCAAACATGTTCTTTTTGGGAGGGAGGGGACCATTGAGATTACCGGTGGTGGGGTGGGGGGCACTGGTTAAAGTATACATTTTATTTACAGCATATTTTTTTACCATTTCGTCACGTGGTAGACTTGCTCAAGGGCTAGTCCCCCCCCCGTCCCCCCCCCCCCCTCCGTCCCTTTGGAGAGATGCCTGAAAAAATTGAGGACGCGAAGGAAAAAAACCAAACCGTATCAATAACTATAACCGCACTGATGAGAGCATAATGCTAGAGTTACTATGGCAACCGTAGACAGAATGAAAACAGACTTACAACAAGCGAGAAGCAACGCTGTGTGGATGAGCTTCATGGTTGGATTCCTGACTTACACAGACGTTGAAGAATGCAGGTGATGGATTCCCGACTGACCCAAAAGTTGAAGGAAACAGTGTGGTGGATTCCTGATGTTAGCCAACTGTGAGGAATACAACAATGTTACAAAGCGGTTAATTTATTTAGCGTTATATTTCATTAAAGCAGTTGTTTAGCGACTTTTACTAGTTGAGAGGTGGAACTATCTCACATATCGGTCATGTAGATTGCCTATATATCAGTTTCATAAAAGAGCTGGAACTACCTCACATATATATGGCTAGTATCTCAGTCCCATATAAACAAGAACATATTTCTTGAGGCTTTAACCAGGAGAGAGGTGGCACTACCTCACATATCTCACATCTATATGGCCTATATCTCACTCACATATGAGAGGTAGCACTACCTCACTTATCTCACATCTATATGGCATATATCTCACTCACATATGAGAGGTGGAACTACCTCACATAATCTCATATCTATATGGTCTATATCCCAGTCTCTTGTAAATAAAAACACATAAGGCCCGTATTTCAAATAAATCTATCACGTCTATATGACCAAAAACTAAATCCGACATCTAATTGTCCCTTTCCCTAAATCCTAATACATAGATGTCCCTTTCCCTAAATCCTAATACATAGATGTCCCTTTCCCTAAATCCTAATACATAGATGTCCCTTTCCTTATATACTAATACATAGATGTCCCTTTCCCTAAATCCTAATACATAGATGTCCCTATCCCTAAAATCGAATACCTAGATGGTCCTTATCTCAAAAGTCTAACATCTTAGTGGCCGTATTAGTCTAAAATCTAGATGGCCCATCTCTCTCTCTCTCTCCCCCCCCTCTCTCTCTCTCTCTCTCTCTCTCTCTCTCTCTCTCTCTAACATCCAAAACGCCCTTATCTTACAGATCTAACATCTTGATGGCCCTTATCTTACAGATCTAACATCTTGATGGCCCTGATCTTACAGATCCAACATTTTGATGGCCCTTATCTTACAGATCTAACATCTTGATGGCCCTTATACATCTAACATCTTGATGGCCCTTATACATCTAACATCTTGATGGCCCTTATCTTACACATCTAACATCTTGATGGCCCTTATCTTACAGATCTAACAACTTGATGGCCCTTATCTTACAGATTTAACATCTAGATGGCCCTTATCTTACAGATCTAACATCTTGATGGCCCTTATCTTACAGATCTAACATCTTGATGGCCCTTATACATCTAACATCTTGATGGCCCTTATCTTACAGATCTAACATCTTGATGGCCCTTATCTTACAGATCTAACATCTTGATGGCCCTTATCTTACAGATCTAACATCTTGATGGCCCTTCTCTTACAGATCTAACATCTTGATGGCCCTTATACATCTAACATCTTGATGGCCCTTATCTTACAGATCTAACATCTTGATGGCCCTTATCTTACAAATCTAACATCTTGATGGCCCTTATACATCTAACATCTTGATGGCCCTTATCTTACAGATCTAACATCTTGATGGCCCTTATCTTACAGATCTAACATCTTGATGGCCCTTATCTTACAGATCTAACATCTTGATGGCCCTTATACATCTAAAATCTTGATGGCCCTTATACATCCAACATCTTGATGGCCCTTATAGATATAACATCTTGATGGCCCTTATCTTACAGATCTAACATCTTGATGGCCCTTATACATCTAACATCTTGATGGCCCTTATCTTACAGATCTAACATCTTGATGGCCCTTATATTACAGATCTAACATCTTGATGGCCCTTATCTTACAGATCTAACATCTTGATGGCCCTTATACATCTAAAATCTTGATGGCCCTTATACATCCAACATCTTGATGGCCCTTATCTTACACATCTAACATCTTGATGGCCCTTATAGATATAACATCTTGATGGCCCTTATCTTACAGATCTAACATCTTGATGGCCCTTATACTTCTAACATCTTGATGGCCCTTATCTTACAGATGTAATATCTTATGGCCCTTATCTCATAGATCTAACATCTTGATGGCCCTTATCTCATAGATCTAACATCTTGATGGCCCTTATCTTACAGATCTAACATCTTGATGGCCCTTATCTTACAGATCTAACATCTTGATGGCCCTTATCTTACAGATCTAACATCTTGATGGCCCTTATACATCTAACATCTAGATGGCCCTTATCTAACAGATCTAACATCTTGATGGCCCTTATCTTACAGATCTAACATCTTGATGGCCCTTATCTTACAGATCTAACATCTTGATGGCCCTTATCTTACAGATCTAACATCTTGATGGCCCTTATCTTACAGATCTAACATCTTGATGGCCCTTATACATCTAACATCTAGATGGCCCTTATCTTACAGATCTAACATCTTGATGGCCCTTATCTTACAGATCTAACATCTTGATGGCCCTTATCTTACAGATCTAACATCTTGATGGCTCTTATCTTACAGATCTAACATCTTGATGGCCCTTATACATCTAACATCTTGATGGCCCTTATCTTACAGATCTAACATCTTGATGGCCCTTATACATCTAACATCTTGATGGCCATTATACATCTAACATCTTGATGTCCCTTATCTTACAGATCTAACATCTTGATGTCCCTTATCTTACAGATCTAACATCTTGATGGCCCTTATACATCTAACATCTTGATGGCCCTTATACATCTAACATCTTGATGGCCCTTATCTTACAGATCTAACATCTTGATGGTCCTTATCTTTCAGATCTAACATCTTGATGGCCCTTATCTTACAGATCTAACATCTTGATGGCCCTTATCTTACAGATCTAACATCTTGATGGTCCTTATCTTACAGATCTAACATCTTGATGGTCCTTATCTAACAGATCTAACATCTTGATGGCCCTTATCTTACAGATCTAACATCTTGATGGCCCTTATCTTACAGATCTAACATCTTGATGGCCCTTATACATCTAAAATCTTGATGGCCCTTATACATCCAACATCTTGATGGCCCTTATCTTACACATCTAACATCTTGATGGCCCTTATAGATATAACATCTTGATGGCCCTTATCTTACAGATCTAACATCTTGATGGCCCTTATACTTCTAACATCTTGATGGCCCTTATCTTACAGATGTAATATCTTATGGCCCTTATCTCATAGATCTAACATCTTGATGGCCCTTATCTCATAGATCTAACATCTTGATGGCCCTTATCTTACAGATCTAACATCTTGATGGCCCTTATCTTACAGATCTAACATCTTGATGGCCCTTATCTTACAGATCTAACATCTTGATGGCCCTTATACATCTAACATCTAGATGGCCCTTATCTAACAGATCTAACATCTTGATGGCCCTTATCTTACAGATCTAACATCTTGATGGCCCTTATCTTACAGATCTAACATCTTGATGGCCCTTATCTTACAGATCTAACATCTTGATGGCCCTTATCTTACAGATCTAACATCTTGATGGCCCTTATACATCTAACATCTAGATGGCCCTTATCTTACAGATCTAACATCTTGATGGCCCTTATCTTACAGATCTAACATCTTGATGGCCCTTATCTTACAGATCTAACATCTTGATGGCTCTTATCTTACAGATCTAACATCTTGATGGCCCTTATACATCTAACATCTTGATGGCCCTTATCTTACAGATCTAACATCTTGATGGCCCTTATACATCTAACATCTTGATGGCCCTTATACATCTAACATCTTGATGGCCCTTATCTTACAGATCTAACATCTTGATGGTCCTTATCTTTCAGATCTAACATCTTGATGGCCCTTATCTTACAGATCTAACATCTTGATGGCCCTTATCTTACAGATCTAACATCTTGATGGTCCTTATCTTACAGATCTAACATCTTGATGGTCCTTATCTAACAGATCTAACATCTTGATGGCCCTTATCTAACAGATCTAACATCTTGATGGCCCTTATCTTACACATCTAACATCTTGATGGCCCTTATCTTACAGATCTAACATCTTGATGGCTCTTATTTTACAGATCTAACATCTTGATGGCCATTATCTTACAGATCTAACATGTTTATGGCCCTTATACATCTAACATCTTGATGGCCCTTATCTTACACATCTAACATCTTGATGGCCCTTATCTTACAGATCTAACATCTTGATGGCTCTTATCTTACAGATCTAACATCTTGATGGCCCTTATCTTACAGATCTAACATCTTGATGACCCTTATACATCTAACATCTTGATGACCCTTATCTTACAGATCTAACATCTTGATGGCCCTTATACATCTAACATCTTGATGGCCCTTGTACATCTAACATCTTGATGGCCCTTATACATCTAACATCTTGATGGCCCTTATCTTACAGATCTAACATCTTGATGGCCCTTATCTTACAGATCTAACATCTTATGGCCCTGATTTCACAGATCTAACATCTTGATGGCCCTTATACATCTAACATCTTGATTGCCCTTATACATCTAACATCTAGATGGCCCTTATCTTACAGATCTAACATCTTGATGGCCCTTATACATCTAACATCTTGATGGCCCTTATCTTACAGATCTAACATCTAGATGGCCCTTATCTTACAGATCTAACATCTAGATGGCCCTTATCTTACAGATCTAACATCTTGATGGCCCTTATCTTACAGATCTAACATCTTGATGGCCCTTATACATCTAACATCTTGATGGCCCTTATCTTACAGATCTAACATCTTGATGGCCCTTATACATCTAACATCTTGATGGCACTTATCTTACAGATCTAACATCTTGATGGCCCTTATACATCTAACATCTTGATGGCCCTTATACATCTAACATCTTGATGGTCCTTATCTTACACATCTAACATCTTGATGGCCGTTATACATCTAACATCTTGATGGCTCTTATCTTACAGATCTAACATCTTGATGGCCCTTATACATCTAACATCTTGATGTCCCTTATCTTACAGATCTAACATCTTGATGGCCCTTATCTTACAGATCTAACATCTTGATGGCCCTTATACATCTAACATCTTGATGGCCCTTATCTTACAGATCTAACATCTTGATGGCCCTTATCTTACAGATCTAACATCTTGATGGCCCTTATCTTACAGATCTAACATCTTGATGGCCCTTATCTTATAGATCTAACATCTTGATGGCCCTTATCTTACAGATCTAACATCTTGATGGCCATTATACATCTAACATCTTGATGGCCCTTATAGATCTAACATCTTGATGGCCCTTATCTTACAGATCTAATACCTTGATGGCCCTTATCTTACAGATCTAATACCTTGATGGCCTTTATCTTACAGATTTAACATCTTGATGGCCCTTATCTTACAGATCTAACATCTTGATGGCCCTTATCTTACAGATCTAACATCTTGATGGCCCTTATCTTACAGATCTAACATCTTGATGGCCCTTATACATCTAACATCTTGATGGCCCTTATCTTACAGATCTAACATCTTGATGGCCCTTATACATCTAACATCTTGATGGCCCTTATCTTACAGATCTAACATCTTGATGGCCCTTATACATCTAACATCTAGATGGCCCTTATCTTACAGATCTAACATCTTGATGGCCCTTATACATCTAACATCTTGATGGCCCTTATCTTACAGATCTAACATCTTGATGGCCCTTATACATCTAACATCTTGATGGCCCTTATACATCTAACATCTTGATGGCCCTTATCTTACACATCTAACATCTTGATGGCCCTTATCTTACACATCTAACATCTTAATGGCCCTTATACATCTAACATCTTGATGGCCCTTATCTTACAGATCTAACATCTTGATGGCCCTTATACATCTAACATGTTGATGGCCCTTATACATCTAACATCTTGATGGCCCTTATACATCTAACATCTTGATGGCTCTTATCTTACAGATCTAATATTCATATTTTCCCATATCGTACACGTTGAAAACAGACTCAAATGGCCCTCTAGTACAGTTAGCAAGGTAAAAAAAATCATATTGTATTTTATCTTCTTACGATTACCATTCAATTCACGGATTAAAAAACAAAACAAATCAAAGCACCACTAGATCTCTACTATTGAGCCCCGCCCATGTCCTTACAAAACCACGACATATTTGAAACAAAAGCCTTCTTTTAATGATCTCCAACATTCAATCAATGTAGGCCTGATAACACTATAGAAGCAACTAATTTAATTCTTTTTCTTGTATTATACCAAGTGTAGTATTATACTATATATCTACATAGCCATTACATCTACTCATGATTAAAGAATTGAGGTTTAGAATGTACTTGAACAAAGGAAGGTTCGAGAATAGAACTACAATCTAGATCTCGATCTAGATTTAGATTTAGATTTAGTTCTGCTATTTCAAACTCACTCACCAGCTTAATGGAAACTTTTACCTGTACGCGTAGCTCTATCTTATACTTTATCTAAGTACCTGTTCAGATGATCTCTATGAGTATCTTCTTGGTTCACTTTGCTAAGTATCTCTTAGATTTACTATCTGAATAGCTAATACGAAGAAATGTACACAAAGATATCCTTGAGAAATGAAGCGTCACTACTGTTACTAAGGCAACCAAAGCGAAGAAAACCAGAATGAGGGCACATTTTTGTTTCGTTGAACATTTATTCAATAGCAAAATAAATAAAAATAAATCATAAAACAATGTGAATTTTTTATTATTATCTAAGCAGTTGCCGAATGTAATTAAAAAATAGCTGTAATTAAATTAAATAAACAACTGTTTTTACTTTTAAAATATAATTGAAAATTATTTCGTGTTAAATAATTCCAATTTTTAAAAATCGTTTATTATGAAGTGCGACACTGTGTATCGATAGCTATATGTGTATGATCTTCGGAAATTCCCAAACAAAAGATGGAACTCTATTTCACCACATAAAGAATTCAATGTTGACAACAGAAATAATATTCAATGCACAGTATAAGTCGAGCTTCATTCAACTACAACACCATCCTTTTTCTATACACAACGTATGCAGCATTATTTTTTTCATAAGGGTTACCATGGTAACCACTGCTGGAGCTTTGTTGCTGGACAGTGTGGTGTTTGAGATATTTCTGTTGCTGATTTTGTTTTCTGGAAACTTCTTGGTCTCTCATACAACGCCCGTACACACAGTCAATCACTTTCTATTTATATCAACACTTTCACCTTTACAACCATTCAAAAGTTGATTAGGAAATTTAAAACTAACTTTAAAAACAAAAACAAAACTTTTAGGAAAATGTGGGTAAGGGTACACGCAAATCTATTGATTTTTAATCTATAGATTACGACTTATGGCATAAATATTACACATGTACACAGTACACACGAATGGTATGACACTGCGCCACTGGGGTTAAAACGTACAGATCTATAGCCAAACAAACGTTTGCAACTATAAAAAAAAAACACGACGATCGAAGAATATCTCCTCCAAGACATACGGCGTCCTCCTGTATGGCAGTGAATGCTAGAAAGTTTATAATGCTGTTAGTCGATCTCTGAAAGTTACTAATGCTGTTAGTCGATCTCTGAAAGTTGCTAATGCTGTTAGTCGATCTCTGAAAGTTTCTAATGCTGTTAGTCGATCTCTGAAAGTTACTAATGCTGTTAGTCGATCTCTGAAAGTTTCTAATGCTGTTAGTCGATCTCTGAAAGTTTCTAATGCTGTTAGTCGATCTCTGGATTCTTTAAACTAAATGGATAAAAACGGGCATCCAACGGCAGTCTATAATGACAGATTACCAGGAAAAATGGCAATGGATGACGTTTAAGAAATAATTGAAAAAGAGGAGGGTGTTGGATGGGTCACGTTTGGAGGGTGAGTTCAGATGGTGTCGCATGGAAGACGTTTAACGAGTTTTCAAGGTAAAAATAAACAGGCAAGGCCAAGGGAGGAGGCACAAAGTAACAATAACACAAGGGGTGACAAAAATCATGGTACGAATTCGGCCAAAGTGGAAAGAGTTTTTCGTGGCGGACCTATGTGGCTGGGACACTAAACGGAAAAGATGATGATGATACATAGTCTGTCTGATGGATAGTCTGTCTGTTGGTCAGTCTGTCTGTTGGACAGTCTGTTGGATAGTCTATTGGACAGTCGGTCTGTTGGACAGTCGGTCTGTTGGACAGTCTGTTGGACAGTCTGTTGGACAGTCTGTTGGACAGTCTGTCTGTTGGACAGTCTGTTGGATAGTCTGTTGGACAGTCTGTTGGATAGTCTGTTGGACAGTCGGTCTGTTGGACAGTCTGTTGGACAGTCTGTTGGACAGTCTGTTGGACAGTCTGTTGGACAGTCTGTTGGACAGTCGGTCTGTTGGACAGTCGGTCTGTTGGACAGTCTGTTGGACAGTCTGTTGGACAGTCTGTTGGACAGTCTGTCTGTTGGACAGTCGGTCTGTTGGACAGTCTGTCTGTTGGACAGTCTGTCTGTTGGACAGTCGGTCTAATGTACCTTCTGATGTACCTTCTGTTAGACAGTCTGTTAGACAGTCGGACTATTATGTGCTGATTGTGTGTGTATGTGTGTGTGTGTGTGTTAAATGAAAAACGGTTTAACAATAAGTAGCAAAGGTTAGTGTTTTCATAGCCCTTACATCAAAAGAGCTAACCCATTGATCTAATTTCGTCTACCTGATGTGGAAAAATGTTCTCATGATCGGCAAGCCCACCTATACTGTATTTCAAAACGTAGTTTAAATCTACAAATAATACATTTCTAATTGCAATTTTATTAAGCCTATGCGTCAAACTTTATCTCAAAATTATTATGAACACATAAAAAAACATACGCCAATCAATATTAATAAATGTTAAAATCGACTAAAATCAACTCAAATGCTATAAATAGTTTGCCGTGAGATATATTGTCTGAGTTCATATGTCAATGATATCATTTGTCCTGAGATAATTTGTTCTGATATCATTTGTCCTGAGATAATTTGTTCTGATATCATTTGTCCTTGAGATATTTTGTCTGAGATAATTTGTCCAGAGATAATGTGTACAAATATACATATAATTGGTGGTATCCTGTTCAGCTCATTAATCCGTCACTGTAGGTCTATACATTTTTTAATGATGTTTGTTTTAAAGCGTTTTGGCTTTGGCCATCACAAGCAGATTCTTGCTTTGTTATCTATTACACGGATTAATCATAAAAGCACATGTTGAAGTACAACATGTTTTCTAGCCTGTTTTGTTAAGAGTCAGTGTTTTGTTTATCTTCTAAAAACTGGTTGATTACCCGATTTTTACTTCAGAAATAATATTTTTAATAATTAGGGAGTGTCGCTTTATGTGACAGATTTTTACCCGATGTTAACATTAGAAGGGAAGGGGATTTTCGAAGTTTATTCAAGGGAAATAACTCATATGTGTGGCTTTTATTTGGTAAATAAAATAGCTTGTCATTTAAACAGTCAACAGGTCATTTAATTTACACAAAACAGAAGTCTGTCTGAAAAATTAAATTTACTATGTAAGAGCTAATTTTAAGACCTCTAAACTTCAGGGACCCTCTCAGTCCCCCCCCCCCCCGCCCACTTTTAATTCGCCACTCAAGAGACTAGTATGATCATCCGAAATGTAAAGAACTAAGAACAATAGCACATAAAACCCGTGATTGAATTTCTGGGTGCGCAGACTGCATCGTTTCGCACAGAAACTAAACGCTAGGATTACTTTCTAGTTATTACCATACGAGAGCTAAATGAGAATAGAATTATACCAACAGTACCATAGTGTTGAGGTAAAGAGGGTTTAAGTTGAGTGAACCCAAGAATAGGACTATATTTGATGGGTTTAGTTAACACGTTCACTCTAAACACAAATTCTTATGTTCTGATGGAGGTAATCTCATGATATAGAGTCGGTTATTATTCCGGAATGGTACAGCAGTAAAAAAAACACATGAAAACCATGGTGTTGTCTGTTACACCGTTCATGAAACCACCGGAAGTACTGTAAACCATATATTATTAGGCGATATAGTATATTTTTAAATACATAATGTTTAAAAATGTGTATAGATTGATTTTAGTTGCATTTTAAATACTGTTTTGCTAACTATTTTTTATTTCTAATTATTTTAAGTGAATGTGCTAATTATTGCTGCTACTAAACATTGTTCTAGTCCTTCTTACTACTTTCGTTTTATTTTACTAGGTCTAGATCTAGTTGCCGCAAATCTTCTGCAATTTTTTATTTCTGTGTTTCTTAAAAAATATTGATTACTACACTCAATTTATTATCTAAATTTAGATCTAGATCTACTAATTGTTGATAATTTTCTGTCAATCAAACTCAAAATTAAAGCAAAACATTAATTTAAACAATCGAATTTATTTAGATTTCAACGGTCAAATAAACCATAGGTTTACAGTAACACATGTTTACGAAACTCAACAAACATTACCCGATAATTTCCAACACTATATCATGTGTTACCTTTATATTTATTCAGTCTTGACAGAGTCTTTAAGCCTACTGTTGTTTGAAAATATATGTGAATTAATTGGCTTTTTTTTGGAGTTCACGTAATAAGTTTTTTTTTTCAATTTCAGTAACGGAAAAAGGAATGATTGTATTGAAATAATGGAATGATTTAATAGAGTATCTTGTTGGATTGTTTGTGTAGGAACCTGACTACCTAGATACAACCGATCCATTTTCACAATCTGGAACAACATCCACACACATCAAAAGTCTGGAACATCGCCCACACAAACTGTGAGGACAGCAACATCACCCACACAAACTGTGATTACAGCAACATCACCGACACACTTTGTAAGGTCAGGTACACCACCCACACAAACTGTAAAGCTAAGAAGCCACCCACACAAACTGTAACACTAAGAAGCCACCCACTGTAAAACTAAGAAGCCACCCACTGTAAAGCTAAGAAGCCACCCACTGTAAAGCTAAGAAGCCACCCACTGTAACACTAAGAAGCCACCCACTGTAAAGCTAAGAAGCCACCCACTGTAAAGCTAAGAAGCCACCCACTGTAAAGCTAAGAAGCCACCCACTGTAAAGCTAAGAAGCCACCCACTGTAAAGCTAAGAAGCCACCCACACAAAGTGTAAAGCTAAGAAGCCACCCACTGTAAAGCTAAGAAGCCACCCACTGTAACTCTAAGAAGCCACCATGTCAGCTTGTATATCAGGATGCGAGCTCAGAGATCGACTCTACACCAACCAGGCCATGGCCAACTGCCAACAGGTTATCCACGGTCACCCCAGGGACATGACCTACATCCCCATATGCCCCCGACCCCAGCGGTACCCCAGCACGAAGAACCCAGACTGTGCCTGCCCCCGCACCGAGCCCTACCGGTGCTGCTGTATGCCCGGGGTCATAGAGACCCGTATCGTCAGGCGACCCGTCAAGTGCGTCAAGCCCCCTTGTTGCTACTCCATCCCAGCCATCCCGTGCAACGATCCTCCCAAAAGGTGAGTTCATGGCGCAAGATTTTAACCCCCCCCCCCCCCACACACACACACACACAAACAGAGGAATGAAACATGCCTTGTAGAGTCACTGCCGGGTGACACCATTTTGGGCGTGGCACAAAATCGAAATATGTTTTTCAAATCCTGGTAAATAATAGATTTGTGAGGGGAAAGGGTGACATCAAAACCAAAAAGCGAAATTGTGTGAAAGAGTGGGGGGGGGGGGGGGGGTGACACACGACCTAGTGACGTCACCGCGGTTGTATCCGGAAGACTACACTATTGTTTTGTGGCTACCGTTTAATTAGCTCTGTATTTTCTATCTGTGTATATTGCTTTTTCATTTTGTTAAGTACCAGTTCAGTTTATTTCGTTTCTCAGACTTTTACGTGTAACACCTGTTTTTGTCGTTAGCCCAAAGATTTGCTGTCAGACTTTTGTGCAAACTTTTTTAATGATTGCCCAATAACTTGCCTATCATACAATTTGATTTTTAAACTTGTGTGTAACGACCTATTTTATCTGGCAGCCCAAAGCCTCCCAAGAGAGACCCGCTGTGTTTTGATTGGTCGGTTGAGGAGCCAGGTATAAATGACAGCTACGGGCTGAGAGGTCTCAACTGGTACGATTGGACGATGGGCAAAACAAAGGTCGCACAACCAGTCAGGAGCAACCCCAACATTCACCCAGGTGTGTTCACTTAATTAAGGTAGAAGACAGGTGTGTTCACTTAATTAAGGTAGAAGACAGGTGTGTTCACTTAATTAAGGTAGAAGACAGGTGTGTTCACTATATTAAGGTACAAGACAGGTGTGTTCACTTAATTAAGGTACAAGACAGGTGTGTTCACTTAATTAAGGTAGAAGACAGGTGTGTTCACTTAATTAAGGTAGAAGACAGGTGTGTTCACTTAAGTAAGGTAGAAGACAGGTGTGTTCACTTAATTAAGGTAGAAGACATGTGTGTTCACTTAATTAAGGTAGAAGACAGGTGTGTTCACTTAATTAAGGTAGAAGACAGGTGTGTTCACTTAATTAAGGTAGAAGACAGGTGTGTTCACCTAATTAAGGTAGAAGACAGGTGTGTTCACTTAATTAAGGTAGAAGACAGGTGTGTTCACTTAATTAAGGTAGAAGACAGGTGTGTTCACTTAATTAAGGTAGAAGACAAGTGTGTTCACTTAATTAAGGTAGAAGGCAGATGTGTTCACTTAATTAAGGTAGAAGACAGGTGTGTTCACTTAATTAAGGTAAACGACAGGTTTACGATGCTTATCCAAACATTGGGTGACAAGATAATTATGTCAACATAAACTTCTCATGACCTACCCCCCCCCCCCCAACTAACCTCAGATGACCTCTCACTTAACTATCCTGTGATGACCTACTTTTATTAATCTACTTTTCCCAACTTACCTTTAGCGACCTACCTACCTCAACTAACATCTGATGACCTGCTTCCCCCTTCCCAACTAACATATAATGACATACCCTCTAACTAACCTTTCTTTTGATGACCTTTCTCCCCCAACCTGTGATGACCTACTTTTAATGAACTATTTTCCCCCAACAATTATTGTAATGACATTTCTCTCGCACCTAACCTGTAATGACCTTTCTCTCGCTACTAACTTACAATGATCTTAATTCCCCCAACTAACTTGTACTGACCTATCATCAACCCTGTACTGACCTACTTTCCCAACTAACCTGTACTGACCTATCATCAACTCACCTGTGATGACCTACTTCTCCAAACTAACCTGTACTGACCTATCATCAACTCACCTGTGATGACCTACTTCCCCCAATTAACCTGTACTGACTTATCATTAACACTGTACTGACCTACTTTCCCAACTAACCTGTACTGACCTATCATCAACTCACCTGTGATGACCTACTTCTCCAAACTAACCTGTACTGACCTATCATCAACTCACCTGTGATGACCTACTTCCCCCAACTAACCTGTACTGACTTATCATCAACCCTGTACTGACCTACTTTCCCAACTAACCTGTACTGACCTATCATCAACTCACCTGTGATGACCTACTTCCCCCAACTAACCTGTACTGACTTATCATCAACCCTGTACTGACCTATCATCAACTCACCTGTGATGACCCCCCCCTCCCCCCCCCCCCCTTCCCCCAGGCCTGGACCAGAAGACCATCAACAACAGCATGGACCACCTGATCTGCAGGCTGCCTCTCATGTGCTATGCCAGACACCCGGCGCCCTGCCACCCGGCGCCCTTTGCCGGTGACGTCAACTACTTCCGTGACTGGCGCTGCTGTGACGCCAAGCCTCCCCCCGCCTGGAAGCCCCCTTACGCCCACTGGGCCACGAACCAGCACCTTTGACACTCCTCTCTCCTTGTTACAGATCTTAGCCTCATGTCTTAGCTTCCTGTAGCACAGAGCCTCACACCCAACTTTGTACAGACCCACGTAGTTATAAAACACTATTGCTCCAAGCTGTAGAACAGTAGTCTTAGAACAAATCAACAACGGCTGTTCGCAGCTGTGGAACATTTCAATCACGGCTTCACACGGCGACAGCTACACATCAGAATGTATGTCTCTCTGACAAACTCACAGGTGTAGCCAAATATTGATTTCCGATCGAACGATTGAAATAAAATACCTGTTCATGTGACTTGGTTGGGGTGTTGGAAGGGGTTGGTTGTGTTTTGACTCGACAACAAACAAACAAACAAACAACATTAATACCAAGCACGAACAACGTTCTAACAAAACATGTATCACAATAAAATTCGCACTTGTTAAAACATTTTTATCTCATTTTGATTCATGTGAAGCTGTTTGGTAAAAGAATTGGAATCTTATTTTGTTGTATAATATCTCGGGCTTGCTATTGCCTAGTATTTGAAGCAGCGTGAACTCCTTAAATCTTGGTTAAAGGCCTTTGAATATCTGAACCAGACAAAATCACAGAAAACTCAGTTTTAAATTGTCGACCACCAAAATATTTTGTCTTTCTTACACCGTTGATCCGTTTTGTCTGTTTCTCTGTTTAAAACGAAATACAGACAAATACATATGTCGTGTGTTTGAGATTTTAGTCAATTGGTGCCCAACTCACTTTTGTAATTCTGCTGTTAGACCAAAAAATATGAAGTCCAAATTCCTTGGAGATTAGAGCATATCACAGCTCGCAACCATAGAGCAGTTACTAGTATATATGTATCGTTACACTAACCCTATCTAACACTAGCACACAACTATAACCCTAGCCATGATCATAATTTTGGCCGAGTTTTCTTAAAGCAGAATTTATTGTCTCCTCTTTCCAGCAGTACATAACACACCAGCCGTCCAGTAACACATCACATACCAGCCGTCCAACAACACACTACACACACCAGCCGTCCAACAACACACATCACACACCAGCCGTCAAGTAACACACTACACACCAGCCGTCCAACAACACACTACACACCAGCCGTCCAACAACACACTACACACACCAGCCGTCCAGTAACACATTACACACCAGCCGTCCAGTAACACATTACACACCAGCCGTCCAGTAACACACCACACACCAGCCGTCCAGTAACACACTACACACCAGCCGTCCAACAACACACTACACACCAGCCGTCCAGTAACACACCACACACCAGCCGTCCAGTAACACACTACACACCAGCCGTCCAACATTACACTACACATCAGCCGTCCAACAACACACTACACACCAGCCGTCCAGTAACACACTACACATCAGCCGTCCAACAACATACTACACACCAGCCGTCCAGTAACACACTACACATCAGCCGTCCAACAACACACTACACACCAGCCGTCCAACAACACCACTACACACCAGCCGTCCAGCAACACACTACACACAAGCATTTCAGCAACACACTACACACCAGCCGTCCAGTAACACATTACACACACCAGCCGTCCAGTAACACACTACACACCGGCCGTCCAACATCACACTACACACCAGTTTTCATCTAGTTCATGACACTTCTAATGAAGGTACAACATAAATACAAGACAACATTTAAAACAACAGAAACAAGATAAAAATAATTTAGTTGAAACATGTACATAATACAATTAGGTATGAAAAACATTAAGTAAAACACCAGATAACGAAAACGAAACAACATTATTAAGGTGAAATATCCGATACAATATACATACGCTTAATGAAGGTAAACATCATATACAAGATGACGAAAAACTCGTAAGACACGTGTAGTTGATAAAAGACAAGAAACTTTCTTGTGTCTGGACTCATTTATTTAACCTCTCCTAGCGTAGGGTTCATTGAACCAACCCCGTCTCTCCATCTGCTTGACCGCACACTCCGCTTGTCTGGCCTTGAGTTCCTTGTACTGACCAGTGGTCTGGATGGGCGGCCGGCAGTCGTTGGGGTCAAGGGGGTTGGGCAGGTCGGGGGGCAGCAGCCCCATGCTGACCAGGGCGTTACGCTCCTCCAGCATGCGGTAGAACATCTCGTAGTAGAAGGAGGGGTGGCGGAGGGCGTGGCATCCCGAGGGTGACCCAGCCGGGGGAAGCTGTGGACGACCATTGATTGGGTCAACACTACTTCATGATTAACATCAAGATCAACACTACTTCATGATTAACATCAAGATCAACACTACTTCATGATTAACATCAAGATCAACACTACTTCATGATTAACATCAAGATCAACACTACTTCATGATTAACATCAAGATCAACACTACTTCATGATTAACATCAAGATCAACACTACTTCATGATAAACATCAAGATCAACCCTAAACTACTTAATAAACATCAAGATAAACCCTAAACTACTTGATAAACATCCAAATTGATCAACACTACTTCATGATTAACATCAAGATCAACCCTAAACTTCTTGATAAACATCTAACTTTATCAACACAAAATTATAAATACCATCAAGACCAACCCTATTAGATAAATTACTAGATCAACATCTAACTGGATCAACACTATATCATGGTCAGCACTGCATCATGATCAGCACTAATTCAAGATGAACTCAGGATAAATTACTAGACCAGCATTAAACTGGATCAACAGTGCATCATGATTAGCTCTCTATCAATGTCAATACTACTAGATCAGCATTAAACTGCGTTAACACCGTAGTATGATCAACATTACATCGCGATAAAGAAGAGGATTATGATTAAACCAAGCCAACAGATGGACTTAATCAATACTAAATTAGATCAAACAGCTAAATCTTTTGTGACTACAACAATATCAGCATCAGACGGCCTAAACAGATTGAACTTGTCATCTGGAGCTTAATCTGGAGCTTAATCACAGCTCTGTAAACCTGTCCAATAGTTTACAGGTATATGCATGACTCGATTAGAAAGAGATTAGCATAATCCACCCAGCCCTGAAATGTCCCAGTAGCTTTTTTTTAAAATTCACCCAAATATCTACACCTTACAAAAAGAAAATGTGTTTGCATATAATACTATGAACTTATAACTTGTTATTTTAAATATACGTGTAAAAAATAAACCACCGTTTTATGTAGTAACTTATAAATTAAACTCTCAGACACAACTCGTTAGTAATGTACCGTTCACTTCAAGCGACCCTGGCTACCACACACCCATACCCCTTACCTATCTACCATGTCATACTGCCCCCCCCCTCCCCTTGAGTGAAGATCTTGTATCCCCATTGAATGGTATCTACCTGTCCGTCACCTAGTGAAACCACAGGTAAACATTGGGTCGCTACAGTTGTGTTTTCACAGGTACCAAGTCACACACGACGTGCACATACAACAGGTAGGTGCAGCTGTACAGGAACTAAGTGCTCACTCACAGATACAGGTAGGTTGGGGTGTAGATGAAAGGCTTGTTTGTAGATTAGACACATTAGATTGGCCAGACTTTCAAGACGTGTTTAGACTGTCCGTAACAGATTGTCCATAATGGACTGTCCATAGTACTACCTATAGCAGATTTTCAAGACTTGTTTAGACTGTCCGTAACAGATTGTCCATAATTGACTGTCCATAGTACTACCCATAGCAGACTTTCGAGAAAGAACACAGTAGACACTTTAGACTGTAGGCTGTCAGTCAGTGGCGTGTGTATGTGGGGTGTTAGTGGGGCTGATCCCAGCTCCCTCATGGCCCCACCCCTCAAAATTAAAACTGTCTCAAGTTAAGTTAATGATATTTGCAATGGCGCGCTTGTGTAAATTTGGTTGTTTTTTAAATTTAAAATTTTCAATGTCATAAAACCATAATTTTACGTCATTATTTAAAAATCTCGGGCACACGGGGAAACTTGTATTCAGTTAACATCATCCAAAAAAATAAAATCCAGTCTGCGCCAAATATTTCTTTAGTAGACTTTGTAAATTTGTGTAAATACTGTTCAGATTCGACTGACCGTAATTGGTTAAATAAAGAAAAAAATTATAGTCCCATTATATCCAACCTGTGCTTCAGACATTAAAACTACAACTATTGGTCAAACATTAGTCTAACAATAACATTAACCAACTGCTAACCGTAAACTCCGAGACATTTAGATTCTACTCAAGAAAACCAGAATATTTAGTGACTACTATGGGCGTGTCGCTAGCGATAAGATACTGTTATAAATTTGGAACAAATCAATGGCCTGGAAGATTCGTTACAAACAGAAGAAATCGATAACTCTCGCCCTACAGGTAACGGTTCTAAGTGACAAACTTGACTGTCGCCCTTTAAAGCGCCGGTGTGTTATGTTGTGTTGTTCAATACGGGGTACTAAAGAAATATTCAGGTAGGCTTTCAATGCTAGTAAGTAGGTCAAATGTTTTGTTGTGTTGTAGGGGTGACGAGACGAACACAGGTAATACGTCACAAAAATACTTTCTAATGTGCTGTTGTATAATGTGTCAATGTCTAAAATGTCAATGTCTAATGTGTCCACTTCTAATGCGCCAATGCCTATTATCTAACTTCTTTTATTATTCACAAACTCCAATTACTTTGTTTAAAGCTTATATTAGTTTTAAAGTTTACCCTTTTGAAAACATTTTCAAATTAACGACAAATACAAAATATAAGCTTCTTATACCTTAACAAATGCCTATAATTAAACATTTTCAGGTGCCATTTGATATAAAAATACATATCACATTATAGTTTACTGGCATTTTCCCTTACAGGTGCATTTATAGGTGCCCATACATGTGCCTTTTGCAGGTACCTTTTGCAGATACCTAGTCAAATGCCCTACATGTGCCCTTGTATGTTTTCTTACACGTGCGCTTATCAGAGTTGTTGCATGTACCATAACAGCTTCCCTAACATGTGCCCTTAATGTACCAATACATTTCCTTTAAAAGCCCTCATTCATATGCCCTTACTAAGCCCATATACATGCCCTAACAGGTACCCATACATATGCCCTAATAAGTGCCCATAGATATTCCCCTAATATGCCCATAAATGTGCCCTAACAGCTGCCCGTCCATGTGCCCTTAATGTGCCCAAACATACACCCATACAACTACAGCTGCCCTTACGAGATGCGGCGTCCTGCTGTCGGCGTAGTGGTACGGCTGTACCCTGCCCCTGTTGTAGGTGAGCGCCCGACTGGCCTCCAGCCCGCCCCTGTTGAACCACTCGAAGTCCCGCCACCTGCTCTGCCTCTGGAACTCCTGCTCCCCGGCCCTGATCCTGCACAGCGCGGCGTCGGGGTTGGGGAAGTAGAGGTTGTACCACGCCCACTCTTGATGGAACGCCATCCCGTCAAACTCCGTCAAACTTCGTGCTCTTGGCGATGTTGATGTTCAGTGACGGACAGTATGGGAGCGATGAAGTAAATCTGGAATTTGATTGCATATGGCAAGTGTGTGGGTAGAATCAGTTGACAACTAGTGTGTGGGTAGAGTCAGTTGACAACTAGTGTATGGGTAGAGTCAGTTGACAACTAGTGTGTGGCTTGAGTCAGTTACCGAGACAATTAGTGTGTGGGTAGAGTCAGTTGACAACTAGTGTGTGGGAAGAGTCAGTTGACAACTAGTGTGTGGGTAGAGTCAGTTGACAACTAGTGTGTGGGTAGAGTCAGTTGACAACTAGTGTGTGGCTAGAGTCAGTTACCTAGACAACCAGTGTGTGGGTAGAGTCAGTTGACAACTAGTGTGTGGGTAGATTCAGTTGACAACTAGTGTGTGGGTAGAGTCAGTTGACAACTAGTGTGTGGGTAGTGTAGGTAACCTAGGTAACCTAGACAACGAGTGTGTGGGTAGTGTCAGTTGACAACTAGTGTGTGGGTAGTGTAGGTAACCTAGACAACTAGTGTGTGGGTAGAGTCAGTTGACAACTAGTGTGTGGGTAGTGTAGGTAACCTAGATAACTAGTGTGTGGGTAGAGTCAGTTGACAACTAGTGTGTGGGTAGTGTCAGTTGACAACTAGTGTGTGGGTAGTGTAGGTAACCTAGACAACTAGTGTGTGGGTAGAGTCAGTTGACAACTAGTGTGTTGTAGAGTCAGTTGACAACTAATGTGTGGGTAGAGTCAGTTGAAAACTAGTGTGTGGGTAGAGTCAGTTGACAACTAGTGTGTGGGTAGATTCAGTTGACAACTAGTGTGTTGGTAGAGTCAGTTGACAACTAGTGTGTGGGTAGATTCAGTTGACAACTAGTGTGTGGGTAGTGTAGGTAACTTAGATAACTAGTGTGTGAGTACAGTCTGTTATCAAGACTATTAGTGTGTGGGTAGAGTCAGTTACCAAGACAACTAGTGTGTGGGTAGTCAGTTGCCTAGACAACTAATGTGTTGTAGAGTTAGTTGCCTAGACAACATGTGTGTTGTAGATTCAGTTACCAAGACAACTAGTGTGTGGATAGTCAGTTGCCTAGACAACTAGTGTAACTGAAGTACTTAGTGCTAGAATATGGTTAGAATAAGGTTAGGGTTATTATAGTTGGGGGGGGGGGAGGGGGAGACTAAGCCTCCCGGGACTCGTTCAGATCTACAAAAAGATAAATGTTAAAAAAATTACTACGGAACAACGTAGATCAATATTAAATTTAGATCTAGAATCTAGATTTTCTATATCTAGATCTAGAACTAGATCTAGATCTAGATCAGAAGATCTAGGAACAATAACACATACGTTAACGTTTATATATTCTCCAAGCCAGCCGATAGATCGCCAATAAGTTCCAGCCTAGCTCTGAGGTTGTGGCTTCAGTTGGTGATGACGTCTAGCCCTTATCCCTATCCAATACACACGCACAGATGTTATCGTGTTCGTCAGTTGTAATCAGAGATAATCAGAGATAACCACCCAGCACCTTGTCGATGGTAGTCATGTGTGGGGCGGTGCGAAAGTTGAACGTTCGTCTGGGGTTCAATGTGGTGCTGGCTGGGACGTGTTTCAGGAACAAATTCTAAAATTAGAAACCCCGAGAGGAAAACTTTCATGCGCATGATATGACAACAAAGGTATTTGGATTTGCGGTTCAGTTCATCGGATGAAAACAATTCTGGCCTTTTCTTAGGCGATGAAAAAGTTTATTTACAATCGTTAGCCAGTTGATGAAAGAACCAGGTTATGTTATAAAAATATATAAAAATATTCAGTCGTCGGGTAAATACCCCCCCCCCCCCCCGACGCCGGACGAAATTTATATATATATATATATATATATATATATATATATATATATATATATATATATATATATATATATATATATATATATATATATATATATATAATTTACGTAGAAAGTATATACTTTCATCAGTGTCCGCCCCCCCTCTCCCACTCCCGGAAATTAAATTTGCTCCCCATCTGAAAGTTTGAAGTAACCCCCCCCCCCCTTCCCCCATCCACGGAGAAAAATGTCTGAAAGAAGTCTCCTAAAAATTTAAGTCTAATTTAAAGCTAACCTTCAAAACTATATGTATTGTTTTAGTTTACATAACTGTGCATATCTAAACGATTGTAGGAAAAAAGTCACAGGAGAAAAAACACAGTAAAAAAACCACAGAAAAAAGTCACAGGAAAATAAGTCACAGGAAAAAAAGTCACAGGAAAAAAAGTCACAAGAAAAAAAGTCACAGGAAAAAAAGTCACAAATATATATTTGCATGGAATTTGTTAATACCTTTATGAATTATATATTCAGAGATTGCAAATTAGCTCAGGATTAATTAAATGTAATGTAATGTGTAGGTTGTATATGCATGGTACTTTTTATAATTTATCTAAAAATATTTAGTATGAAGTATGTAGATTGTAATTATGTTAAATATAAGATTAATAACATTTAATAGAATTTTCCAACGTCCTTGGTTTTTATTGTGTTTTTTAAAATACTAACATTAAATTACCGTGAAATGGTAAGTTTATCTGACTTGCTGCCCTCAACTCATAGCAGCAATAGATCAACCACCTTTACTGCCCACATTTATCACGCTCATTACATAACAAAGCATAGGATCAAAACAGAAAGCCGACAAGGTTCAAAGGCTGTCATTGAGACACAACGTCAACATCACACAATATGTTCGGACAAGGCCGACTAAGAAGAGGCCGACCAGAGAATAGCCTGCGGCAAAACATGAAAAACACAATAATGCGCCTAAATTTCTTTTATAATTAACTTTTCTACCGTGTAATTAACAAAATACGTAACAAAAGTTGAGATTTTTTTGTAAATTATCTGAGAGTGTTTTTTTTTTACTTACAGTAGTTATAAAACACAATGCTTTTAACGTCTATAATTAATATATACTATAAAAAAATAGAACCCATAACAATAAACATACACAATTTTACAATTTTCAACAGATAAATCTAAATAGTTCTGAAAATATTTTTGTGACTTTTTTTCTGTGACTTTATTTCTGTGATTTTTTTTCCGAAATTTTTTCCCCATTGTGACTTTTTTTCTGTGACTTTTTTTCCTAGCAAAAACTGTGACTTTTTTCTGTGTTTTTTTTCCTGTGACTTTTTTCCGTTCACCATCTAAACAATAACCTTACATATATATTTTCCAGTTCCCCACTACCCCAGCTGCCGGCTCCACCCGTCCCCACCATGACCAGCACCGAAGCCCGACACGTCTCCTGCTACCACCTGGGCCCAGACTTTGACTGGTGGCGCTGTAACGAAGAGGGCTATGTGGGCCGCCCTCCCTCCCCCTTCCCCGCCTCCTTCGAGCACGCCCGCATGTACCGAGACGACAG